CACACACACACACACACACACACACACACACACACACACACACACACACACACACACACTGTTTCATTTCAATTGTGGATTCTGGGGGTTTTAATCAGAGAATTTGAAATTTATTTTTAATCAGAGAAAACCAGGATCCCAGGAGATGACTTGGTGAAGCTGGATGTTTGCAAGTTAGCAGGGCTGAATAAGATGTATCCTAGAGTACTTAGGGAATTGTCTGAGATAACTGCACAGCCACTGACTCTGAACTTGTTGGGTGAGGTCCCAGACAAATGGAAAAGAGGAAATACAGGGCCTGTCTTCAGGAAGGGAAAGAGGCGGATATGATCAATTTGACATTGGTCAGTCTGACCTCAGTGCCTGAAAAGGTCATGGAACTTGTCAACAAGGAATTTATTTCCTAAAAAACCTAGGGGAGAACAAGCTTAGGAACAGCAAGCATTGATTTCATGCCTGACCTATGTGCTTTCCTTTTAGGACATGCCGATTTCTTTGTCTGGGCTTTGTCAATGGGAGAAGAGCAAGGGACGTGATAAAGCTTGACTTTAGCAAGATGTAAGACACTGTTTTCCATGGCACTCGTTACAGGCAACCCCCACTTAGCACTCTTAACTGGTTCCAGAATAACCAAGCACTAAGCAAAACTGCACAAAGCAAAATCCATTTGCCCATAGGAATGAATGTAAATATAAGTAACTGGTTAGCGCTGCTTCTATCCTTGGTCCAGTACTGTTTAATTTCTTGATTAATCACTTGGAGGACAAGATTGCGTGCATACTTAGCAGATTTACAGATTATTCAGGGTGAAGACACAGGGTATGATGAGGATTCAGAATGATCTTTATAACCTGGAAAAATTGACCAAAATTAAGCAAATGAAATTCAATAAAGACAAGTGGAAAATCCTGCACTTAGGATGGAACAACCACATGCACGAGAATGACTGGCTAAGCTGCAGTACCACAGAAAAAGACCTGGGTTTTTTTAATTAAAAAAAAACACATCTGACTTCCTGAAAAATATGGTAGTTCTTTTAACTTTCTCCAATATATTTTCAATAATCAAAACAGATTGAGAAAGAGTTCCCACAGTAAATCTCCTTTTACTGTGTTCTTGAAACAGCCCGAATATTTGCAGCTTACTACTTTCTGGTCATCAACCCCATCCTGTATTTCTCTTTACAACTTACAAATACATCACCGGAGAGCATCAGGGGCTAGGCAAACAAACATCCACCAAAGCACCCCAGGGGAAAACCAGGAGCAACAGTCATAAACTCCTAGGTTTCAGACTGGATATACGGAAAAACCTCTTCATGATTCGTGGGACCGGACTCTGGAATAGACTCCCAGTGGGGGTGGTGCAGGCACCTACCCTGGAGATCTTCAAAAGGAGATTGGACACACACCTTGCTGGGGTTATCTGACCCCAGCAGTCTTTCCAGCCCCGAACACGGGGGCTGGCCCCGATGATCTCAGCGAGGCCCCTTCCAGCCCTAAACTTCTGTGAATCTGTTATTTTCTCATGTTCTCTGCTACAGAAGCACACACCAGAAATCAGAATCTATTTTAGTCCTAGCTCTAACTTGGAACAGATGTTCTCCTTATCACACTCTGCAAGTCTTAAAGTAGAGCTACACTGTTTTCTCAAAATACTTCTTTAGAATGCCAGTTCAATGTGATTTACAACGATACATTAATTTTCTTGGATATATGAATACCTAGTCATGAAAAATTATTTTCTTTTTCCAGTGGAGGGTGAGAGATTATATGTAATAGACTCTAAACAAGCCGAATATATGCTCTTCATTTTCTTCCCTAATCAGAGTTACAGCAGATTTTTTGGGAGGAAGAAAGTACTTAAGAGTTGATAAAGCAAAAACCATTTCTCTCCCAAGGGACAGAATATAAATATAATTTGAAATTCTGTTATTCTAATTATTTAAAGCTCAAAGCATCTGTATAACTGTTTAATGGTGACAATTCTTTAAAAGAAACACCCACACACAAAATTTTAAAAAAATAACAATTTTCTCAACTGAAAAAATATTTAAACTATTGATTTCATACAATTGATTTCTTTTTAATTTGAACTGCACCTACTGTCCAGAATGCGACTGGCTGTGGACAAAAAAAAATGGAAACCCCCCTCCTTGGACTTGCTTCTTAAATATGCCCTCTGTTACGCAGATCAAGATTTCAACCTCCTGAACTAGCTTCCTTTCTAAAAAGTCCCAACTGTATAGAGTCACATAGTTTACTAACCATCATGAAATTCAGAGGATACTTACACTCATCGTCTGCTCTGGATACCACAAAGACAAAAAAGTCCCAAATGTATTTTAGACAACTCACCAAAATGCCCTCACAATATACCACCATTCATTCTACTACTACCTGTTTCCTGACATGCTAGACAATTTAATTGATCCTTACTTTTCTTAAAAGAGAAAAAGAGAGGGAACACTGTGTTTATTTTTCTCCTTAGATCTATTAACAGGATTTTCATACCCATAGATTCTAGGGTCAGAAGTGACCTCAGTGGGCCATCTAGTCTGACCCCCTACTCCTGGCAGGCAAGAAAAGGGGCACCAAACCTGGGATCATGTGATCCCAACCAGGTGTCTGTCCAGTCTCCTCTTAAAGACCCCCAAGGATGTGCCAGGACCACCTCCCTTGGAAGCCCATTCCAGATCCTGGCAACCCTAACCACGAAGAACTTTTTTCTAACATCCAGTCTAAACCTACTCTCCAATAGCTTATGGCCAGTGTTCCTTGTTATTCCAGGGGGTGCCCTGGTAAACAGATCATCACCTACTTCGTGCTGCTCTCCCCTTATGAATTAGTACGCTGTCACAAGGTCCCCTCTCAGCCTCTCTGGGAGAGGCTGAAGAAGTTACAGTCCCTTAGCCTTTCCTCATAGGGCCTTCCCTGCAGGCCTCCAAACAGACAAGTGGCTCTTCTTTGGACCCTCTCCAGGTTGTCCGTATCCCGTTTGAACGGCTGCATCCAGAACTGGCCACAGTACTCCAGCTGCGGCCTGATCAGTGCTGCGTAGAGAGAGAGAATCACCTCCCTGGACCTGTTTGTGAAGCACCTACGGATGCACGACAAGGTGTGATTGGCTCTGCTGACTACTTCATCACACTGATGACCCATGTTTATCCTGGAGTCAACAGTGACTCCAAGATCTCTTTCTGCCTCAGTGGTGCTGAGAAGGTCGCCCCCCAGCCTATAGGTATGATGGCACTTCACTACTGAAATGCTAAGCATTCTGCATGTAATAAACAAGTTTCCAAAATGAAACCCCACTAATTCCCTAATAAAATCAACTTTACTGAAAGTGCAACATGGGTTTTGTGGTAGGTTGAAATCTTGAATAGATTTAACTATAAAAAAAACAGTCAAGATTGCTAGTGTTAACATCATTTAAAAAAAGTCTTTAATTTAAAATTGTGTAAATAATTTACTGGTGGTTTAAAACTACTTAAAAGTAACCATTTTGGACTGTCCCATTAATGAAACTGAAAGCACTAGGAACTTACCTGGGGAGTTGTAGTCCTGAATGTATTGCTCCCCTGCATCATCACATCCTTCATTATTTTTTCCTTGAGAATATTATATTCCTTTTCATTTAGCTCAATAGTTTCTAAGACTTGGTTACAAACTGGACATGCACAACTGTAATAGAAAGTAAATTAGGAATAATAAAACATATTTGAACAAGAACAGTAAAAGCTATGTTCAGTTTCACTTCCAGGTATTCAGGGACTGTAAGTTTACACCTTTCTATTAAAAACCATCATTGAAAAATAAGTTGTGCCCTCCTTAGGCAAGAATCAAACCCTGCTGCAATTAATGAAAATAGATTTTAAGATAACAAAAAGTTCTGAATCATACTTTTTCAGTCTTGACTATTTAAGCCTAGAAGGCTCAAATTTTGTCCTACAGTCCCTATTAATAAAGAGAAAGGATAAATAGTCCAGTGGTTCTGGTACTAACATGGGGCTTGAAAGATTACTGTTCTACAAGTTTTCTGGGGAAGTAATTTAGTCTCTGTCTCAGTTCCCCATCAGCAAGACAGAGACTAGTACTTTAAAGACAATGAGCTGCTCATATACTATAGAGTGAGCCACATGCACATAAATAGCTTGGACAAAACTAAACAAACTATTAAGTAAACAGTTATTTGAGACATCCCAGATTCTACTATTCTCAGAGTTTGCATTTATCAATGCATGGGCTTCTCTCATTCACACTGGTGAAAATCCAGAGTAAATGCATTATTTTTCATGGAGTTATTTTGAATTTACACAACTACAGATTAGAGCAGAATTAAGCCCACTGTCTGTTACTGGACAACAATACTGTGGTTCTGTGTATATGCCTTACTAATCTGTTTGTGCATGCTAATAAAGACACATTTTGAAAGGGTTGAGAGCACTCCTTTCTAAATGAAAATCTCCCCTTCATTTTTATACCTCAGCCTCTTTTTTGCCATTCTAGGTACAGATATTTTTCCCTGTCTACAATTTATATGCCAACATTTCTGTTCAACTTCCATTTTGTTCTGGCAATTAATATCACTCAAACATGTAAAGTAGAGTATTTGCAGGCATAATTGGAGTACTTTGCGATAAGGCTATCCAAGCAGCATGAATTATGGCTTAAAAGGAAAATTGAGATTTTTAGTAACTGTTATTTGCTAAAATGTTTTTTAAAAGCATCTGCATTTTGAGAAGCAAGACTAAATTATTCATAATTCAACAGGAACAAGGTCTTATTCTTCTACTAAATCCTCCCAACATGCTTTTATTTTTAATGTTTTGAAGTCATTGTCTCTTAGTTCAAATCATATTCCAACAAGGAAAGCACCATAACACAGTCAAGTGTTAATGAAAGCCTAAAGTGTTCTGAAGGCATCTGACTATGTCTGTCTAAATTAACAAACAAGAGTTCAGCTAACCAGTCACCAGCTTTCTTCTGTTAGCTAAAAGGACTAAATAAATTGTTTGAGCTGTCAAAAATGAAGTCAGCAAACTGTCATAAAATGTAAAAATTAATCTGAGCAGATGATACTGCCGTGGGTACAGGACTACTGAATCTTTGTCTCCATTTCAGTCTCTCTCTTCCAGTGTCAGACTTTGTGCCTCCATAGTTTTTGACTGAGACCAGGCCCTGGGTGACAGCACACTGTTTATAAACCATGCTTGCCCAGAAGGTCCAAGTGAGTACAGCACCTGTAGTCCTTCTGTTAGGAGTCTATAAAAGATATGAAGTGACCTAAAAGAAATGTTTGCTTATTTTAACAGTAATAATATTTATTTTAACAGTTGAAATAAAGTCTTAGGAGAAAAAAGGATATTAAAAAAAACAAAACAAAAAAACCTATATGCACATCCATGGCCTGGAATACACTATAAAGTTAAACCAGCAAAATCTGTCGTGTTGACAAGAGACTTGTATCCATACACATTCAGATTTGCATCCTGCAGACAAAACCCTAACTTCTGTAGATGAAGTTAAAACTTGGAAGGAAAGAACAGGGCAAACCCAGATGCAGATATCCCTCAAGAATAAAGCTACGTCTCAAGGAGAGGAGATGGAAAAGGACAAGTACCACACAGACAAGGTTCCAATCCTAGACAAAGAAAAGAACTGTGATAGTTCTAATAATAAGGCAAAGAAGGGCAGAATAATTATGGCACTATGTCCCACAGTTACCACTACCCTATGAAGAGCCACGGCATCTTTAAAAAACAGCCATATCCAGAGGCAGAAACCACTCAGAAAAAAAGGAGTCAGGAAAGGGTAATTTACTGCCTCCCATACACTTTTTTAGCCTCTCCACAGCCTCTGAAACTTTACTCGCACTCTCTCCTCTCCCTGTCCATTCTCAAAATGGCATCTAACCCCCCAGATATGGGTATAAAGAAATACTGTTTTAGTAGCTAGTTCATTTTAAAGGGCATGCACTGGCAATGCTAAGTTAAAAAAAAATCAACAAATGAACTTGGAACCAACTGATTATAGTATTGTCCAAGCAGTTTTCATATTGGTATCTCTGCACTATGAGAGTGAGTTGACCTCGCCAGAGATTTCCTGGAATGTAGCCTCCATCCAAAAATTCTGCAGACACTCCCAACTGATTCCATCACTTGGTGCCATTTTGTGAGCTCAGACACACCATGGCAGGAAGCATAATTTGGGATAGCAGACCAGATTCCAATCGTGCCCCACTTGCCAGTGCATGGGGTGCCCACACCTCCACAGCTAGGCCCAACCATCAGCTGATTGTCAGCTTGGGCCAGGGACTGTACCAAAGTAAAATAAATAATGAACACTTCTCAACACAATATAAATTACAGTCTAGCTTAGCAGCATGTCTTCTCAACAACAATACTAGGATGAGATCCCACAAGATCATCCTTATCCTCATTGCCCCCATGTCCTCTTTCCCAGGAGTTTTGGAGGTTGTATTGCCATAAAGGCTTGAGTGTATTAGAAATTCTTACTGGTCAAAACTTCACTTAAGTAGGAAATTAGAAATAAAATAAATAAATTAATGAAAAAGAAAAAAAGAAAAAATGTATTTTTTCTTGTTTTAGGACAGAAAAGCTCCAGGCAAAAAAACCCAAACATACAACCACACAAAATCAAATGTAATATGTTTTTAAACAAAATGGTACATTTACCCATTTTCAACGCTGGTCAAGCGTCCTGTCCATTTCTCTCCTGGAATACTAAAACAAATAAAAGAAAAGAACTTAGAAAATATTAGCTTTTTATTTAATTATATATGAATTACAACCAAAGACCTGTGTATAGAAATAAAATATTTAACCATTCATACTATAGAAGAGTGGTGTCTCAACCTTTTGACCCCACAGGCCAGATAAGTGGGGTGGGGACAGTCTGTAGGCTGAAACGAGCCCTGTGCGCCAGGACTGGGCCCTGCAGCCTAGCAATGCCCCTCGCCCAGCACACCAGGATCATTCCCCAGGGGTATGGCACTGTCCCCTTGCACTGCTGGATGCTAGGACCGGATCCCAATGAGCCAGCACAGTCACCCTCCTCAGCCCCTGCGCAGGGCATTGAGATTGGTCTCTGGGAGCCCCGTACCACCTCTTCCCAACCTGTGTGTGCCAGGATTGGTCCTTCAGGGCCTGGCACCACCCCTTCCAATGGGACTGGTCTCTGCAGGCCTAGTACCATACCCTCCTGCCCCATCATGTCAGGAATGGGTCCTGGCACTGCCTCCTCTTGGACCCCCCACACCAGGATTAGACCCTGGAGCCCAATACCGCCCCCACCTGGCCCTTCAAGCTGGGATCAAGTGCTCAGTCCAGCTCACAGGACCTGCGGCTCCCCAGGGGTCTGAACTTTGGTGGTAGGGAAGTAGTGCTGCTGTTATCCCACTGCCAAATTCCTAGGGCCATGGGCAGCCTCCCGGGCCAGATGACAAAGGCCCACAGCAGGGATGTGAAAGGTTAAATAAGCATACGAACATGAGCCATCAATGTGACGCCACGGCTAGTAAAGCGAGCAAAACGCTAGCTTGCATCCATAGATGCTTCTCAAGCAAATCCCAGGACATCATTCTCCCGCTGTACTGGGTCTTGGTGAGGCCACAGCTGGAGTACTGTGTCCAGTTTTGGGCTCCACAATTCAAAAAGGACGTGGAGAAGCTTGAGAGAGTCCAGAGGAGAGCCACGTGCATGATCAGAGGTCAGGAAAACAAACCTTATGATGAGAGGCTGAGAGCTATGGGACTCTTCAGCCTGGAAAAGCACAGGCTCAGTGGTGATCTGATGGCCACCTATAAGTTTATCAGGGGTGACCACCAGTATCTGGGAGAACGTTTGTTCACCAGAGCGC